AATAGTATTTTAATAATAGTAAATAAATTTATAAAGTAAGTATATATCTTACTTCATTAAAAATTATACTTAGTAAAAAATTATATATATATATATTTAAAAATAATAATAACTAATTATAATATACCTTAAGAAATTATTTTTAATAAAAAATAAACTTTTATTTTTAAATTTTAATAAAAACTTATAATAAAACTTAAAGTAAATTATAAACTTAGTAATATATATTATTTTAAAATAAATAATTAAATAAAATAAATAAATTAAATTATTAAGTAATACTTAAGATATTTTATTAATTTATAATAAAATAATTAAGTTAATAAATTACTTTTTATATAATTATATTATAATAATATAAAATCTAAATTTACTAAGTTAATATTATTTTATACTTTATATAAATATACTTTTTTAATATATAAACTACTTTAGAAAAAGCTTAATGTTAATAAAGTATAACCTTAAGTAGAATTAATAAATAACTTATATAAAAAATTAAAAATATAATTAAAATTTATTTAAAAATATATAAAATATTATATAAATAAAAATAAAATTAAAAAACTAAACTTTTAAAAAAAGAATATAATTTACTTATTTTAATATATATAAGGTTATAAAATATTAAATATTAAAATAAATTAATTAAATAATAAATTTAATTTTAGAAAAATTAATTTATTTAAAAATTTTAAAAAAAAAATAGTATTAATTATAAATTAAAAATATTAAAAGGTATATAACTAAAATACTTTATATTTTATATATTACTTTTAGAGAAAGTGTAAATTAATAAAGTAATAGAAAGATTAATTTTAAATAAAATTATTATTATTAAAAAAAAAAAAAAATTTAAAAATATTTTAGTAATATAAAAAAACTTAAAAAAAAGTAATAAAATAAAATACTAAGTTAAATAAAAAGAATATAATTTAATTTATAATATATAAAAACCTATTAAAAGCTTTAATATAATAAAACTAATTTAAGATTTTTAAAAAAATTTAAAATTATATTTAAAACTTTTAATACTAGTTACTTAATAAATAAAAAATTAACCTAAGTAAAAAAAAAAAGTATATAAGTTTTTTTTAATAATATAAAAAAACCTAAATTTTTAAACTTTAAATTAATACCTAAGGAAGGTTAATTTATATTATTAAAAATACTTAATAGTTATAAATTTAATACTATTACTTATTTTATAATTATTTTAGTATTTACCTTAATTATTTTATAATAAAATAATTTATTACCTTACTTTTTTACTTTTTTATATATTTTTTAAATATATAATAAATAACTTATTACTTTTACTAACTTTAATTATAATTTAATTATTTAAGTATTTAAAAAATTAAAATACTCCTTAGCTTCTTTTTCTTTATACTTTAAAAAATACTTTTAAGCTATTACTTTTTTAATTAAAAAGGGAAATTAATTATTACTAAATTAAAAAATTAAAATTACTTATAAATATTTATAATAAAAACATTATTATAAGATTTCTTTACCTTTACGTAATTTCTATAATAANAAGAAGTTTTAAAAATTATATACGTAAACTTAAAATAATAATAATAAGTATAAGGTATATTTACTATTATTTTAGAAGTTAATATATACTTTATAAAAAATTTTTTTTATATTTTTATAAGCTTTTATAAATAAATTAAATATAATAAAAATAAAAGGAAAATATACTTTATAAAAATTATATATTATAGCTTAATTAAGTATAAGGCTTTATTAAGTCTTAAAGGTAAAATTAATACAAAAAGAAATATTATATTATAATTTAATTTAATAAAGATATAAAGGAAAAGTACTTATAATAATTATTAATTAAATAGTTAATAATAAGAAAAAGTAATAGAATTTAACGCTTTTATAATTAAAGTAACTTATATAAGTACTTTTAATACTTTAAAAAATAATAAGTTATAATACTTTTTATAAAATAACTAAATATATAAAATTTAATTTTTTATACTTTTTAAATAACTTAAATAAATAGTTATTAATAAAATATTAAAATTAAATATAAACTAAATTTTTATTATATTTTACTTACTTTATAATTATATTTACTTAAAGCTACTTCCTATTCTTTTTATTAATATAAACTAATTAACCTTAGCTTATTACCTTAAGAACTTACCTTATATTAGTTAAGTATTAGGTTAAGATATTATATATAGTTAAATTAATTATAAAGAGAATTTAAGTAAAGAAGTATATAAATTAACCAAAGTCCTTTTAGTATTTTAATAAAATATATTTCTCTCCTACTCCTAGGGTTATTTTTAAAAACTTAAGTAGATTTATAATAACTATATAGTAATTTAATCTTATATTAAAGGTATATTTAACTTTAATTAACGTAGGGTAATTTATAAAGACTAAATTAATATATTTCCTTAAGTACTTTATAAGTATATTTATTAATACTAGGAAAAGATTATACCCTTTTATTTATTTTATAATTTTATTACCTACTAAGTCTAAGCTTTTACCTAGGTCTTAGAGCTAGTAAAAAATATTAAAGTTACTAATAATAATTAAGTAAAGCAGGGGGGGGCCTTATTTAGTAAAGGTTTCTATAGCTAAGTTTATTAAAGCTTTTTAATAAATATTAATAATAATATATTTATATACTTTTATTTAGTAAATATATTTATTCTTTAAGCCTAAGGAAAAAAGTTATTTACTAAGGAGGTTTAAGGAGATTTTAATAAATATAAAAACTAAGGGTTTAGTATTTCTTTAATTATTTAAGGAGTTATATACTTAATATTTAAGGTAATTCTTAGTTTATTTTTTATTTAAAACCTTATTTTATTAAGTATAAGCTCCTAGATTAGTATAATATTATTGTTACTTTCTTATATTAATAATAAGGTAATATTTTAGTATAGACTATATTTTTTAATATTAGCTTAAAAGATTTTAAGGCTAGTGTTTTTTCAGCAGCTGCAACGGGGCCTACTGCTTATAAGCTTACGTCAGGGGGTTTATTAGCGCCCGTAGGGGTATCCTTTATATTTTCATCCTCCTTATCCTCTCCGTTGTTAGACCCGGTTACATACACCGCCGACCTGGCGGGTAAGGTTACCAGGGGGGAGTCCTCCTTATCTAAGTTGACTTCCACTATGACTTTCTTCGCGGGGGGCTAGGTAAGGGGTTGCGGCGCCGAGCTAGATTAGATGCTTGAGGAATTTGCCTGAGCCAACGTTACATTTTTCTCATGATGATTAAAAGAGTGGTAGCTAACATTCCGTACATAGCCACTAGATTTTCGTCTATAAATTACATTACTTCTGCTCTAAAGACTGCTAGAAAAGTTCTCAAACTTCCCAAGGCTTCCAAAAACTTCCAATTTCTATTACAACCAGTTCTTAATATTTCACCGAGCTTCAGTTTATTATTCACAATGCGCTCTTTAGCCTTCATTACCGCCCTCAGGTGAGCACACATCTAGTTCTATGTATTTCAATTCATGATACTAATATCACTAGTCTTTCGATCTACGGTTTGTGATCAATGGAATGTTGTTTTAATATACTCGCTATATGCTAATTACATCGCAGGATGCATGGCGGAATCTGGTGGCTATCCGGGAAATCCATGTGAACGGGTCGGCGCTAAATGCGACCCCGTTGTCCAAAACTTTTGCCAAGGCAAGTTCGACGCTACAGTTGAGTTGCCATGTGGCCCTCATGGATTTGTTGGCGTTGGCTGTTGCTGGCATGGGCCTCCTCCTCCAAAGTGAAACCTGTATGACGGGCAGGTCTGCGTGCATGGAAGTTAGGAGATAGTTGGATTATAGTTGAGAGATTGACTTCTATCTGAGGAATAAAAAAAAATGAAATAAAAAAAATGAAACATTATAAGTAGTGCCGTTGTATATTATCCCTTGTTAAATGCTTCAACTTAAACCTATTTATGCAAATATAACAACTGGGTAACATTGTTGAATAAGGAAACACTAGTCCGATCTACCTACGTGGATCACATAGATTTTACATAAATAAGAGGTTCTGGCTCCCGACTTCTTGACTAGATAACTAAGACCTTTCAATTCAGGCTGAAATGGATAGCGTTGGATAGTATTGAGGTTATTAAAGACTAGTCTTACTTTTATCCCCATTCGCGTCGAGACCATTCTCCCTATCAATCTGCATCAAAATATCCGTTGGACAGAGTATCCGAGATAAACTCCTGCCAGATTTAAACTTGGTCACTCCAGCATCATCATAGGCCAAACTCATTACTTTTTCTGGGCACATGACGTACTCTGGCAGTGAGTGTACCCCCTCTTTCACCCATTGCCAACCCCGGTCCTCATTTGGTGGTTGAGGTTTCCATCCTCGTATTGGTACCGGGTCCCAAGACCTGACCTTTTCTTCGCGAATCCGAACCATAGGATGAAAGTACTCATTAGTGGCACCATCAGTACCGTCACCTGGATCCCTTGGATAGCCTCCAGGAGTGCGATCTTGTTTCCCGAGAAGTCGGAAGAATGCACCCTGTATCCCAGAGAAGTCGCTCACGATGGGCCCACACCCCCAACTAATCGTGAGTCTGTCCATCGCGAGCCGATGCTCTTCAACGACGGTGTTGATGGCGAACTGTTGGAACGTGAGCATCCTAGAGACGTTGTCTACCTAAGATAGGACGAGTGAGTTAGCAAACCTACGTCTGGCAAACGACTAGAATATGTAAAGCTTACCATCCACGCAAATGTGTTGTCTCCAATTTCCCCGTAATCTCCTGCAGTTGGTCGAGATTCTGCTTGCCCACCAATATTTCCATGCACGCCTGGGAACCAGCATTGCTGCAGCTCCTTTGCAGGACTATGGGCAGTCTTGTGCCAAAGGGTAGGAGGAAAGGTCAATCGTTGTTCGTCAATGGCAAGAGCTTGGAAGGCATAATCTACGCCTAATCGCGGCATGTTAGCTCTTGGAAATATCTTAAGCGATTCATAATACTTACGTTCTGATAAATTGGTGTTGTGGAAAGTATATTCCTTGTTGATAGGAATGCCAACCTTCGTCAGCCATTTTACGAAGCCCAACTCGGGAATTCCCTGGCCCCAGATGTCAGCCATGATAACCGTTAACCAACTTGCATACTTACGAGAGCGCCAACGGTGTCCCAAACGCCAATTACTTTGACCGTGACGTCGGATAACCCCAATTCCTTGTGATGATCGAGGTACCAGGTCGAGAGTCTAAATGGCCTGCCGCTTATATTTTGGCGATATGCCTGCCACATTTCCGAAAACCGTGACATGTGCACTGGGGAGATGACACCCACATCGCAAACAAGCCCAGCAACAGAACGAGCCGTAAAGGCCCCACGCGAAAAACCAAAAAAGAAAAGCTCGTCTCCGGGTTCATAGTTATTAGCTATAAATTCATAGGCCTGACAAATATCGTTGTCAAGACCCCATCCCAAACCGCCTGCAAACCCAAGGGTGAAGGGGAAAAGTTAGTTAAATGTCCTCTGAGTCGGTATAATATGTCTCGGAGTGAGACTCACCATATATTGCCTTCTGTAAAGGAAGGTCTCCTGAGCCGAGACCTGACTGATAATACACGATTTGTTCAACTTTGAAGCCATCTTCATCAATTCCTGTCTGAGCAAGCGCTCTAGCAATCCTGGCGACATTGGACGGTTTGGACGAATCGCCCAGGTTGGACGCAAGCCATGTGCCGTCGGCACAGACTATGATGCGCTTATATGTCGCTAACTTGGCAGTGTCAGGTTCCATAGTATGATTGATTTGACCACAACCAGACGCAGACAGCATCTGGGACACAATCTGCTATAAATAGGACTTGATGATAGAACTCTTGCAAAATCGAGAAATTCACTAAAATCAATCAAGTCAGGAAATTGACCTATTTGCTATTTGCCTATTGCAAAAGGAAATTTTCGGAAGTAACGGACCGTCCGCTGGATAAGCCTGATAGGCTTGATAACCTAGAACTCGGAAATGGGAATATAGGAATGCATTTTAAACCTTATTCTAACACTCGCTAATATCTTCAGAACCATTTGTAATTTAAATAAAAGTATAATACCATTAGAAAGCCCTGATTTTGTAACGATCCGTTATACCGTTAAGCCAACAGGGCAAAAGATTAGGCCAATAATCACTATTGTAGCAATTACTGTAACGGAACCAGCGTCTTATAAGGGATCTATCTGTTACGGTAAACCAGGCCGTGACAGATTTCAGGAACTTTAAGTTTATTAGAGTTTTTATAGGATTTCTAATACCTAAAAGCAGGGAATAGAGATAAAAGAGTGATTTCTAGCTTGGTTTGTATTAGAAGCTTGAAAAGCTAATTGATTATAGTACAACCTTCTAAACTAAATCTTTGCTATTATCCTTATATTCTTATATTATCCTTATATTCTTATAATTAGCTTTTAGTCTTAAAATTCTCCTAAGGGTATATACTTGAGAAATATTATAAGAACTATTGGATTGCAAGATAGGCTTTAGCATGTAAAGAAATACCTAGAGAATGTAGCAAGGCAGAAAACTTTATGAAAGCCTCATGATATAGAGAAACGCCTATAGACTATAGCGGGATAAATAAGCTTTAGTATGTGAAGAATTTTTTCCTAGCCATGCTTTCTTGGCTTATAGCAGAATTCTAATTTGAGTTATACTAGTTAACAAGTTAACAAGTTACAAATTCCTTTCCAATTGGTTAACTGAATCGTCTCGAGGGGGCTTTGAATATGTAATATTGAAGAAATTTGAGCCGGCAATTGTGAAAAGATCGGGTAGTGCGGGGTACTATACTTTGGTTATTTCTCTGTCTTTTATTCTCCGTGCGTTGGAATTTTGATGACGTTTTGTAGCTTCGTTAGATCGATCTTCGATACCCTAGGTGCTATTAGTGAATGATGGAATGCTTGGGTTGCGTCATTTCAACGCTAGGGTGCATCGCCACTTATGTTAATTATGTATTGTTTGCGGCGGCTGTTGATGACGAAAGCCATCCATTTTCAAACGACGCCGGGCAATGTGTATTGTATGTCTTTGCTAGTAAAGAGGGAGTTACTAATGATTGAATGAATATATTAACCAAACATAAGCACGAATAACTCAGCCTTTTAACTTCTCTATTTATCATGTTCCTTTACTCTGGCATCCGAGCAAAATGGACACGTCTGGCCAAGATAGGCTTCAGCAGAAGGGAGGAGTGTTTCCTAACCTTCTTAAGATCCTAGGAGAAGCTCAACGCGATCTTCTTAGCCAATCAACCCGTATTGTACCGGATTTGAAACTCCTTAGCAGTATCAAAGATGTTATTACTGCGGGCGGCCAAATTAATGATCGCAAGTACCTCGTAAGTGATCCGAAACCCGAGATATTAACGGCCAAGACATTGAGACATTAATCAACATATTTTCCAAATAAGGTTGAAAACATCATCCAAGTTGCCGCATCTCTTCCAAATACGTCCATACTTCGAGGCGATCTTAATGCAGCGTTCATAGGCACCTTATGGCGTAACCTACAGCATCCACCAATGTCATACCTCGGCGATGAATTTAGATACCGTACTGCTGATGGGTCCAATAACGTAAGTTTTCCGTTTTGCGAACGCCGAACTCCGTGATCTAAATCGTAATATTTACAGAACATCACATATCCCAAACTCGGTGCGGCAGGAAGCCATTACGCTCGAAGCGTCGCCCCACAGCGCCCAAAGCCTCTTAATCTTCCCGACCCATCAGTTATTTTTGACAGTAAGGCAAATGTCCATTATGAATAGAAACGAGTTTGACGTGGCTAGGTCTTATGGCGCGCAAGAAGCCGATGAAGGAACACCCAACCAAGGTCTCCAGTAGCCTGTTTCACTTTGCCACCCTCATCATCCATGGTAACAGAGCATCCTATCAAATACTACGGTAGTTTGAAATGATCTAATTGTTTGATACAGACCTTTTCCGTACCGACGAGATAGACAGTACTAGGTTGAAGAATTCATCCTACCTTGATTTGAGCCCTCTGTATGGCAATAATGAGGATGAACAAAAGAAAGTCCGTACATTCAAGGACGGCTTGTTGAAAAAAGACACATTTGCCGAAAGCAGACTTCTCAGTCAGCCTCCCGGTGTTTGTGCTCTCGTTATCGTCTTCAATCGCTTCCACAACTACGTCGTTCAGGAGCTAGCCACTATCAACGAGCAGGGGCGCTTCAGTATACCAACTGGGATTGCTGAAAATGACCCTAGATACGGCCAGGCTCAGTTGAAACGTGACAATGACCTATTCCAGACTGGAAGACTGTATGTTACTAATACACAAGCCTTATCAGTGTAATGCCACTAACCTCTCTGCTCTAGTATCACCTGTGGTCTATATGTCAATGTCATTTTGAATGACTATCTTCGAACAATTCTTAATCTCAACCGCAATCCAGTCAATTCAGATTGGAAGCTTGACCCTCGTGAGGATTTCGATAACGTCTTTGACATGGAAGGGACCCCTCGAGGAATTGGTAACCAAGTCAGCATCGAGTTTAATATGATCTACAGATGGCACAGTGCTATAAGTGCTCAGGATGAGAAGTGGACGAATGATCTATTTCACAAAATCTTCGGAGCTGACGTCAACATTGGTGAGTCATAAACGTTCCCATAGCCGCAGCCTTTGCTCACTAGGTTATTGCTTAGATGATTTGCCTATCGATACATTCCTACGAGGTATTCGCAAGTGGACCAAGGCTATACCTCAAGATCCTGAGAAGTGGACCTTTTGCGGCTTAGAGAGGAATAGTGATGGAAGTTTCCCAGACGAACAACTCGTTGAGATTGTCCAAGACGCGACTGAGAGTGTGGCAGGTATGTAATCTTTACCCGATGGGCATTCCTTTCCCTAGCTCCGTCGACTCACTTATCGTGATGCTGTTTAGGGGCTTTTGGGGCTCAAAATGTACCCGCCATCCTAAAAGTTGTGGAAATGTATGGGATTGAGCAAGGGCGCGAGTGGGGACTGGCGTCACTGAATGAACTCAGACAATTCTTCAAACTAGAGCCCTATTCTTCGTTTGGTATGTGGACATCTGTTCCACCTTTGCAAAATTCATTCACTAATAGTCTTTAGCGGACGTGACCACGGATCCCTCTATTGCTGAAGCTCGTAGGATGAATGATTTCTGATGAAATGGACCTCCCATGCTGACTTGATAACACAGTCGAAGCCCTCTATGGGCATCCTGACAACATCGAGCTCTATCCAGGACTATTGGCTGAGGATGCCAAAAAGCCAATGGTCCCGGGATCTGGACTTTGCCCGGGGTTTACAACCTCCTTTGCTATCCTTTCGGATGCTGTCGCCCTGGTTCGTGGAGACAGATTCTATACTGTTGACTACAATCCCTCGAACTTGACGAGCTTCGGGTGGGTAATCTTGATAACGTGGCTTGTATTGCTGCTAACATCAAGTCAGGTTTAATGAAGCTAGTTCCGATTATGATGTCGCCGGAGGCGGAGTGATGTACAAGCTCCTGATGAGGGCGTTCCCTGGCTGGTATCGAGCAAATAGTGTGTTCGCTCTGTATCCCTTTACTACCCCAGAAGGAAATAAGGAAATTTTCGATAAGCTCGGAACTTTGCACGGTCTAGACTTCAACAAGCCTACGTTCATTGGTCTTCCGAAACCGATAACCACCTGGCAAGGTGTTGTCAATGCACTGGAAAACCAGGCGCAATTCCGTGTACCTTGTCAGTTTCTCAACCCACCCAGACCCCTCTATTTAACCCATGCTGCTCCGACTAACAATTCCACAGGGGGTCCACATACATTTCAGCTCATTCACCATGACTATATGCTAAGCAGCGACACTCCCGCCAACGCACAGCAGAGAACCAAAGTCCAGAAGTGTTTGTACAGTCCCGAAAATGGCCTGGAACAGGTCAAGCAGTTTTATGAGCAGGTAACCGCGAATCTTATCCGCCAAAATAGTCGTAGGATTGGTGGTTCATACCAAATCGACGTGGTTAAAGAGTAAGTAGGCGATCGTGAATGACGCACATGATATGCTAAACGTGCCAAGCATAGGAAACATTGCGCATGCGACATTTGTGGGCCACTTCTTTAGTTTCCCGCTGAAGAGCAATGGGGAAGGATCAGATTACTACACAGAGGAGACACTGGCCGATGCGCTCCGTAACCTCTTCGGTTACGTCTTCCTCGACTTGGATACGACAAAGTCGTTCAAGAATCGCATTGTGGCTGCCAAAGAAACGAAGAGAATGGGAGAGGTGATGCAGGAGGTCGTCACTAACATCAAATCTAGACATTTCCCCTCGTTAAGACAGTTGTTTCATACAAATTCCGCCAATACTCTAGGCAGCTACGGGGAACAGCTCGTTGAAAGACTGCTCCATGCCGGGCAAAGTGTTGATGAGACCGTGTGGACAATCATCCCCACTGCAGCTGCCGCATCCGCCACTCAGGCCCAAGGCGTATGTATGCCTGATTAATTTTCAATAGTTACTTTTGTCTAATCCCAGATTATAGTGGGCTCAAATGATTGATTTGTACTTGTCCGACGACTACTACTCACATTGGACTGATATAAGGAAGCTTGCGCTGTCTAATGAGCCAGAGGCCTTTGAGAAGCTGAAGAAGTACGCTTTAGAAGGGTATGATACTCACTTCACACGATGTAACTGGGCGCGATCTGACTAAGAGAAATAGTTTCCGTTTGTCTACGCCAGCCTTTGGCTTGATTCGCATCACGAACGGTGACAAAGTAGAGGTTCAAGATGGCTCAGCCGTGGTGTCTGTTAGCACTGGAGACACCATATTTACTGACTTCATCACTGCTGGCCGTGATCCTTCTAAGTTCCCTGATCCGGACCAAATCAAATTAGATCGGCCAGATGAACTCTACATCCATCATGGCTGGGGACCTCACGCCTGTCTTGGACGTGCCATTGTCACTGTCGCGGCTGCCAGCATGCTCCGCGTGTGTGCGCGACTGAACAACTTCCGTCGGGCACCCGGTCCCGCTGGAGAAATGCAAAGCAAGACGGTCAATGGGGCCTTCAAAGTCTACCTTTCTGAAGATGGGAGCAAGTGGGGACCCTTCCCTACAAGTGAGTATAACTAGGTATTTTAACCGCAAGGTGAATTATACTAACTCCATTAATAGACAAAAAGGTTATTTTTGAGCGACTTGAGCAAAGTTGAACCTCACTTACGCCTCAATATATCCTAGTAAGTCTTAATTGAGTAGGGCAAAAAAGTTAGTGAAGGTATCGAGAAGCAATTACAGAAAATGATATAATGGTTGTAACTTATTAAGGTTCCAAGGTTCTTTTGAAATAATAAGTTATTAAGTAATAAATTCCTAAAGTATTAGTTTGAAACTAGTAGGTGTAATAAACCGGGGCCTATAGATTAGTATAGGTTAGCTGTTCCTAAAGGACAAACCTTAGAATAGTTCTAAGGTTTATATTAGCGAAGGCAGTTAAGTTAGTAGACGGGCAACTTATTATTAGCTGTAGAATAAAGTATCTAAATATTTAATTTAATTACTATATATTAATAAAACTAACTATTTAAGTATTTTAATAAGTAATATAAAGTAAACTTATATATTTAGTTATATATTCTAAAGTTAAGTAAAATTAATTATAATCCTAATTAATTTATTTATACATTAATTAAAATTAACGTTAATTTTCGTTAACCGTTTTTTAATTAATTATATATTTTAACGTTAGTCTAAGAGCGCCTACCCTATAGGCCCCTTATTATAACTATAAAAGTTAGGTTGTAATATAATTCTCCCCCTTTTATTAGTTTTATCCCTAAGACTAGGTAATCTAGTATATAAGTATTTATACCTTTATTTATAAATACTTTTTTTATTTTATTACTTATTTATTACTAAAATAACTTTCCGTATTTAAAAATCTACTAATTTAGTTAATTAAAAAAAAAAAAAAAACTTAATAAAAGTATAGTATTTACTATTTTTATATTATTATAATTTATTAAAATAAAGTTTTACTTTTATTATAAAAAGAAAAAATCTTAGTATTTAGCTTCTGAGGTTAACTTAAGTTACTACTTAAAGTATATTAAAAATTATAAATTTTATAAAGTATTTATTATACTTTAATAATTATTATATATTTTCTATTAGTATAACTAGCTTAATAGTAAAGTTAAAATTATTAAAAAGGAAATTATAAATTTTATAACTAAAGTTATTTATCTTTAGAAATAATATAAGAAATAATCTAAAAAGGTAGTATATATAGTATCTTAAGGTATTAATAATTTAATAAAACTAAAGTAATTAAAAAAGAAAAAGCATAAGGCGGAGGCTGCTCTTTAGGCTGTATTATTATTTATACCTAAGGATAAAGCTTATAGTTAAGCTTAAGGTTACGCCTGCAGTATAATAAAAAACCTAATTTAGGCTAATATAGCTTTATATAATAATAAAAAACCTTAATTTAGTATAATATAGCTGCTATACTTTATTTAACCTAGGGTAATTATTAATATAAGTATAATTATTTTTACTATAGCTATAATAAAATAAAAGGCTTTTTTAAACCTAAAGCTTTAAAAAAGTATAGTTTTTATAAAAGTATATTTTACTAAGGGGCTTATAAGTATTATTATTAATAATAAATTAAAAGTATACTTTACTAAAGGGTATAACGAACCAGGTCCTATAGGTACTATAGGTTAGCTATTTCCAAAGGACAAACCTTAGAGTGGTTCTATGGTTTATATTAGTAAAGCGATTAGGTCGGTAAACGGGCAATCTTATCACCAGCTAGTAATATAAATAAAAGTAAATATCTAAGTTCCAATTTGATTATATTATAAACGCTGTAATAACAACTGGCTATCTAAGTATTTTAATAAGTAACATAAAATAGACTTATATATCTAGTTATATATTCTGGATTATGTTAGAAAGCTGGCTTTCCTAGCTTTCCTATAGTGGATTATTTAGAAAGCTAGCTTTCCTAGCTTTCCTATTAGGGAATGTTAACAGTCCTGATTAGCCTGTCGGCCTATAGTTAATCCAGTTCCGGCCAACCTATTAGCCTATTATCGCAACCTTAAGAGTTAAGTCATAACACAATTCTCCCCCTCCTATTAGTCTTATCCTTAAGACCTAATTAAGGTAGTATATAAGTATCCACTCCTATCCTATTAGTAAGTACTGCAATCCTTTTTATTTTACCTCTGTTTTTTATTTCTTTATTATGGCTGATCGTAAGCGTAAGCGTGACAATAAACCTGTTTCTAAGCGAAAGAAAGAAGAGCGTAAAGGCCTTGCTAATACTATACTAGAAAATTCTATCCTCGTTATAAAATCATACACTTACTGCAAAAAGCAAGGCTGCAATTATATTACCTTAGAGGAAGATTCCCATCAGTATTTTTCTTATATTTAAAATCAAAAATCTTATTGCAAAGTATTTAGTCTTACCCTACAACAGATACGCAAGGTAGCAACTTATTATTTAAAATTAAATAAAAAGCTTAAAGAAGCGGAAGAGGCGTAGCTTAAGGCTGGTGCCCGAGTGAAACGTCTTTGTACTCAGAAACGTAAGTGGTTAAAGCGGATAAAGCAGGCTATTGCTCGTGGTATTAATAATTTAGAGGAATTGGAGCGTATTAAACGTAAGGAGCGGGAAGCGTAAGAAGCAGAGGCGGCTCGTCAGGCTAATACGTCGTTGCCTAATTTATCTAATCCTGTAACTCAGGGTTCTGCAGTTAACGCTATTAATTAAGATACTTTTAACCCTTCTTTACTAAACCTAGACTTTAGTGGAAGTTATTTATAAGGTCTTTTAAGTATTTAAGGTCCTTAATAGTTTGCTATAAGTTTTCTATTTTATTATAGCCTTTCTATTTTACTAGGTATTTAGTTTATTAAGTATTTTTATTAAATCTTATTATCTTAAGTTTCTTAACCTTATATTTAAGTTCTTTACTTTAAATAATAATTTCGTCTTATATAACTTTACCTATTTCTTTATCTACTAATACTTTTTCTAATAGTAAAATATAAAAATTCAGATATACAGTTCTTCCTTATTTTCCTAAGGCAAGTAGAAGGTCTATTTCGTAATTAATAGGTCCGATTTTCTTCGTGACTTTGTAAAGTCTAAGTTTCTTAAAATCGAGCTTATCGCTTAGCCTATTTATCTTAATGTTTAGCTACTTATCGTTTCACAAGTATTAAAGTAGGTAGACTATATCTCCCTCCTTAAAGGTTAGTCCTTTAATTTTTCTTATGTCTGCGAATTTAGCTATTTATTATTTAACAAATTTGAGTTATACTTGCAATTCTTAATATAGTTCTTTAAGTTTATCAGCTATAATAATAGCTTTACTAGTATTTTCTCCTTTAATAGGTGGCTGATGTAGATCTGGTTTAAACCTATAGTTTACGTAGAACGGTAAGTAGTTTATAGATTCTACTGGTGTACTATTATAGGATACTTAGGCAGTTAGTAAGTATTCTACCCAATCGTCTTAGTCAAAGTTAACGTAGTATTATAAGTAAGTTTTAATAATTTAGTTAATTTATTCTATTTATCTATCCGTCTATAGGTAATAAGCTATACTGGCTTTATATTTTAGTCTAATTTATACTATAAGTGATTACTAAAATTTTAACATAAATATTAATTCTCTATCGGAGATAATCTCGTTTGGTAGTCTATGGTTTATATAAATGTATTAGAAAAAGACGTAAGCTAAGTCTTCTGCAGAGCTTTTCTCTGTTACTAAGATAAAGTAGGCTATTTTTGAAAGTCAGTTAACTATTATAAAGATACTGTCCTAAGTATTATTAGTTATAGGTTCCTTTAAAAGTAGGAGCTTTATAATATAGTCGAACGTTATTGATTTCTAATTTCTAACTAGAACTAGTAAGGGTTATAGTTTTCCATAAGGAAGATAGTGTAATACCTTAGCTCGTCTATATATTATATATTCTAACACAACCTTCTGTACCCATTTCTTAATACTTTTAAATTTAAAATATTATGTAATCTACTATATGGTTTTTCTAATTCTACGGTGTTCGTTAAGCTTATGTATATAGACTAATTTTACCACTTTGCTTCATAAGTCTTCCGGTACCTAGATAAGTCTATCTAGTATCAGGTATCTAGTATCTATAGAAACACCTTCTAGGTATTATTTATTTTCCTAGTTCTTAACGTATTCCTTTATGTCGTTAATAATTAGATTGTCTATTTCGATTTAGTATATAATGTTAATTAATTGAATTACTAAGTTACTATACTGATTTTTCTTTAGTATTTATACTTTAACTTCCGGTATTTCTTAGAAGTGGTCTAGGTATCTGCTAAGTATATTAGCACATCCGTTATCTAATCCGCTATAGTATTTAATAATAAGCTTAAACTTGGAAAGTTGCTTATAGTACTTAACTTATCTGTAGGATAATTCTTATGTTATTATAAAGTAAGTAATATTCCAGTGATCTATAAGGATTATTACTAGAAATCAACTTCCTTTACAGTAATGTCTTTAATATTACTTACTAAGCGCTTAGTATATAGCTAGAAATTCTTTATTATAGATAGGATATCTGAGTTCTGGTCCGTGTAGTTTCTTAGAGAAATAGGCAATAGGCCTAAGTTTCCCTTTTTCATCTAGTTGGCTAAGTACTCCACCG